AACTTAATTAAATGTATAGAATTTACAAACACATAATTAAAATACAACAAAGTTTCTTAATTTTACAGGATGTTTCTTCTTTCGTACTGGTCTCCGCCTCATTGGCTTCTGCTTCACGTGGGATTCATCTGCTCCATCAAGAAATGTCCCATTATCGGTAGCAGTCACATCAGGGGTAGTAACTTCATTAACGGCTTCACTGTTTTCCCTCTCAAAACCGGGTAGAGTTTTTTCTTCAACAGTGGCTTTTTCAGGTGACATGTCTTCAGCAGCGTCATTTGTTCTGTTGTTCATTTCATTCCAATGTCCTGGACTGTGATAATGCCAAAGCCTGTTCGCATGCACCGCCTTTGGCTTACTTTGCCGACCACATTTTATTCAGAAAATCACATCTGAGAGACGATCTACTATGTCATATGGGCCTTCCTATGGAGAAGACAACTTAGGAGACTTCCCTTTTGTCTTCCTGGGATTATACAACCACACCTTGTCTTCTGGTACAAAGCTGACTTGAGTAGGCTTCTTATCATAACATAGCTTCATGGAATCAGCAGACGTTTTTAAGTTTGAATGCACTTAATGGTGAATATCATCCATCCTTTCTGATAACACTTTCACAAACTCTGACACATTCTCAGGCAACCCTTCATAAGGTGGGCATCCTGTTAACAGATCCACTGGCAACAGAAGTTCCCGACCAAACATCAACTTTGCTGGAGTGTATCCTGTGGTTTCATGCTCTGCTGTCCTATAGGCCATCAACAGTGGAGGGAGTAAGACATCCCAGTCATCTTGGCGGCTATTACAAAACTTTGCCAATTCCTGTCCCACTGTCCAATTCTACTTTTCTATCCTCCCATCAGACTGGATGAAGTGGCATTGTCCTGGTCTTTCGTATGCCAAACAACTTGCAGCATTCCTGGAACACTGCTGATTCGCAGTTACGGCCTTGATCTGAATGCAGTTCGTATGGCATACCAAACCTGAAGAAGAAATCGCTAATAGCTGATGCTACAGTTGTAGCTTCCTGATTTGGTATTGCATATGCCTCAGGCCACTTGGTAAAATAATCCATCACCACACAAATGTACTTGTTTCCAGCACGAGTTTGGGGCAACGGACCAGCAATATCAATGTCAATGGTGCACCAATGTGATATAACTTAATTGGAGCATGTCCATTATGCTTGGATCCTCTTTTAGCACAACATGTACTGCAGGTCCTGCACAATTTTTCCACATCTTGCCTCATACCTATCCTGTAAAATTTCTGTCGTAGATGACTCAATGCCTTCTTAACTCCAAGACGTCCTCGTGTTAAACTATCATGGGATTGACACGGCACAACTTCCCATAACTTTCTCGGTATAACTGTTTGCCAGGTTGTCACTTTCCTATCTGCAGTTTCCCATTTCCAAACAAGAATGCCATCTTCAAGCTTCAACTTGTCCCATTGTGCCCAATAGTTCTTTGTCACAGGGCTTAAGCTAGACACCTTCTCCCAAGCAGGGTGCAAAATACTTGCTTCTAGAAAATCAATTATTGGCTTCAAATCTTGGTCTTTCTCCTGTTCTGCTTTAATATATATACTTGGTTCCACTTCACCATCATCAACTCCTTCAGTTCAACCTCTCTTTTGCAACAATGTCTACAGTCATTTTTGCAGGATCTTTCGCTCAGTCCGTCGGCATTTCCATGAATTGTTCCTTCTCTGTATTCAATATCATAATTATATTGGTCTAACTTTCTGATCCAACGTGCCATTAGTCCTTCTGGGTTCTTTAATAATCTTAACCAGTGTAATGCAGCATTGTCTGTTCTGGTGGTAAACCAAGCCCCATAGAGGTAAAGATGGAAATATGTCAGACTCTACTATAGTAAGGAGTTCCCTTCGTGTTACACAGTAGTTCCTCTCTGGTCTACTCAGGACCCTACTGAAGTAGGCCACCGCATGTTCGTATTCACACAATTTCTGAGACAACACTCTTCCAATTCCGACATTAAAAGCTTCCAAATCCCTCATTGCCATACATACTAGATTGTGATGCTAGTAAAGTGGAGCTGAGGCCAATTTTTCTTTCAATGTCTTGAAAGCATGCTGGTAAGAAACTGTCCATTCAAACTTCTGGCCATTTTTTGTCAAATCATGTAGTGGAGCAGCTAAAGTTGCAAAGTCCTTCACAAACTTCCAGTAATGGGTAAAGAGTCCCAAGAAACTTCTTAATTCTCCCACTTTGTCTGGTGTTGGCCAATCACGTACTGCTTTCACCTTGTCAGGATCAGTTCACACACCATGCTCTCTTACAATGTGACCCAAGTAAAGCACCTCTTTTTGGAACAAGTGGCATTTCTTGGGATGGAGTTTGAGGCTTGCTGCTTTCAAACGCTTGAATACTTCCTCTAGTCAGGATATTTCCTCATGAAATGTTGCTGCAAACACAATGACATCATCCAGGTACACAAGGGCTATCCTCTATTGTAGGCCTTCCAGTACTCTTTCCATCAGCCTCTAAAATGTTGCAAGAGCATTGCTAAGCTCAAATGGCATTACACAGTATTGCGTGAGACCTTGGCCATAACTAAATACAGTCTTAAGTTTATCTGCTTTAGCCATTTTCACTTGATGGAAACTCGACATTAAGTCCAGAGTTGAAAACCACCTGGCTCCACTTAGGACATCAACAGTATCATCAATTCTTAGCAATGGGTATGAGTCCTTTTCGGTTATACTGTTAAGACGCCTGTAACGTTCACACAGACAACGTTCGGGTACCCATTCCTTACGTTCTTCGGACTAAACCG